GTCCAACTACAATAAATATGTAGTCCAACTACAACTAAAAAAAATATTTAAAAAAAATACTTTTTAAAAGATGTATAAGCATATGGTGCGAACCTGTAATAGTCGGAACTTGGGAGGCTGAGGCAGGAGTATCTCAAGTTCAAAGCTACCCTCAGCAATTTAACAAGACCCTGTCTCAAAAATAAAAAGGGGGTTGGGGGTGTAGCTCAGTGGTAGAGAGCTTGCCTAGCATGTGTGAAGCACTGCATTTCATTCTCAGCACTGCATGTAGTAAATAAAGGTCCATTAACAACTAAAAAAATTTTTTAAATAAAAATAAAAAGGACTGGGAATGTAGCTCAGTGAAAAAATGCCTCTGGGTTCAATCCCCAGCAACAAAAATCAATAAATAAAATGTATAAATTTGCTACAATGTACATGTATTCCATTTATAGGACATACTAAATATGTTTAAGGGAAAAGATATGTGGTTACTTTAAATGCTGTCAGACATTTTGGTGAAGCCAGGTAAGCTAGTGGCTCTTAAGAATTCTCTTAGCTGGAAAAATTGCAGCAGTCTCAAGTCAGCTTTTGGCCCTGTCTTACTCCCAGGGCATCATTCCAATGAGGGCTATTTTACCTTATGACCAGTTATAAATATTTATTCATTCCTGCAATAAATATTTAATAAGCACCTACTATGTGCCATGTACTGTTCTAGTTAATGGGCAAATGGTGAATGGGAGCATTAGAGCTGGCCCTATCCAAGTACAGCAAACTTAAGGTGAAGGCAGAGCAAGAGGCAGCAACAGGAAAACCCTAGAAAGTCAGCCAGAAGGGCACCTTAGGGGTTTCCTCTACTAACCTTTCCTTGAACGATGAGTAAAGTGAAGCCCAGAAAAGACAACTATTAGTAGCTTACTATACTCAAGCCTTCTAATTATTTTTACTTTTTTATTTTTTGGTGCTGGAGTTTAAACTCAGGGCCTCATGGACGCAGCTCAGTGGTGGAGCGACACCCCCAGTCCCTATACTCGAATCTCTTGCACATTAGTCCAGTACTTTTGCCAGCATCTGGACAACCCTGGATCAGAGGACCCTCAAAATAACAAGAGGTTTTTATTTGTTTTTTTCTTTTTTGGTATTGGGAATTGAACCCAAGGGCACTTAACCACTGAGCCACATCCCCAGCATCTTTTTACCTTTTAAGATAGGGTCTCACTAAGTTGCTTAAGGACACACTAAATTGCTGAGGCTGGCATTGAACTTGCTATCCTCCTGCCTCAGCTCCTGAGCTGCTAGGATTATAGGTGTGCACCACTATGCCTGGCCCTCAAGAGGTCTTTATAATGAGCCCTCCATGTAGTCAGATGCCCAGTTTGGAGAATTGATGTGGATTTCCATATTCCAACTGAATTTCTCTCTTGATGACCCAGCTCATCTTGCTAGTAAATACCAAGAAACATTCCCCATTGACTTGAGCTCCCTACTTATAGTCTGATGTAATTCAAAGGGCCTACTATTTGCCAGGAACTTTCCTGGGTGCAGTGAGAACAAACTGAGGATTATAGAGTTTCTGCTAAACCCAGGATGGGTGACTAAGGGAAGAAGCATTAAAGTTTGGCCTCAAAGAAAAGGAAAAAAAAAAAAAAGTTTGGCCTCTTAGGCTTTTGGGTAAAATGTGACCCTAGACCTTTTAAAAATACACATATGGGGGGCTGGGGTTATGGCTCAGTGGTAGAGCACTTACCTCAAATGTGTGAAACACTGGGTTTGATTCTCTGCACTGCATACAAATAAAAAATAAAGATCCATCAACAATTAAAATAAATATAAAAATTTAAAAAATACACATGTGGGGTTTTACTTCACATTTACTGAATCACAGAGGAACTAAAAAATCTGGGGTTGTAGCTTAGTGGTAGAGCGCTTGCATTGCACATGTGAGGCCCTGGGTTCGATCCTCAGCACCACATAAAAATAAATAAAATAAAGGTGTCCATCTACAAATAAAAAAAAATCTGCATTTTAACAAATTCTAGGAGCTTGTGCAATTAAATTTGATAATTAGTGCCAAGTGCCACCTAACTGTGGACTATCCATATTCCTATCTGCTGCTTTTCTCCTCCCACTATCTTGAGAGAAAGAAACTCAAGCAAACTCAGTGATCCTTCTTGCAAGGTCTCCAGGGCTTAACCTTTGAATTCTCAGTCCCCTGGGTGTTTAGGCCTTGTGGGAGCGTAGCAGCCCCAGATTTTCTTGCTGTTCTCCTCTGCAGAACTTTCCTTAGTCTCTGCCCCACCCCCTGGGAGGGATCAATAGGACAGTTATGAATAGGCCCTTTCTGAAATCTGGCAGAGAGGAGAGAAGGCCTTTTTGTTAGCTGCTGTATAGTCAATACAAAAGAAAAGCAGTGCTAGGTCTCAAAGCCAGACTTGTGTGCAAAGGGGAGATGTGGAGGTCTCAGGGTAGCACTTTCAATTTTCTGTGCGTGTCTAGCTATTGCATTCTCTGCCACAGTATACAGAAAGCTCAATCCAAAGCGGCCTTAAAGGGGGCAGAGTAGGTAGAGTCATATAGCTCAAGATACTCCCTTGTGGGTCAACTTTCCTGGATCTGAGCAGCAAACACACCAAAGACGTGGAACCATTTACAAAGTAGCTGACATAGGTTCCCAGCCTTGCATGGGCCTGCTCATTTTAAGTCACAGGGGATTTGTGAAGTTTGGGGCAAGAGGACCAGGAAGAAACTCTGGCTGGCTAAGGGGTGTTGTTAAAATGAGCCGAAGACTTCACAGGAATAGGATACTATAAAAATCAGTCAATGTGCTATTCAAATCCAATCAAGTATGTAATTTAGAAACCTGGGAGGAACAGAATGGCCGTGCCTATCTGCCTATTGGGGTGTGACAGACCTTAGTGTCAAGTAATGGTATAAATTTAGCACAGAGAAAAAGGTTGCAAAACCAACTTCAAGTGAAGGAAATGGACTTGAAGTTCCTTGTTTTCATCACGACCATAAAAAGGGCTCAGTGTGTCCATTTGGAGCTCAGAATTGTCTGGACCTAGGCAGCCCCAGCAGCAGGAGTTTGGCACTTCTTTCCATCATTTAAGTTCTGTTCTTTCCAGGGCTGCTCTTGTACCTGGACGTCTCTCCTTCAAGGACTGTGAAAACTGGAATCAGATCAGATTGGGACTCAAGAGTCCAAAATACTCCACAGTGGTATTGGGCTTAGCTGCATTCACCACTCTATTGTCTAGAAAACAGGAAAAGACAAGGGAGAGCAGCTTTGACCAAGTGGGCAGGTCTTTCTGTCTTTCTCCCAGAAATATATCACTTTCCATTTCCTAAAACTGGAAAATGACTGCAATACATTCAGGCCCTGCATCTGGTTCCCCCTGGCCATATGATAGAACCAACATTAGAGCTTTCCAGGAAACCAGGCTGGTTATCAGGTTACAGGAAACAAGCATATAAATAATTGATCAGTTCAAATCTGTGCCTCCAAAGATCGCTGATAAAGATGAGACAGCCATCCTCCTCCAATTTCAAGAAAGTTTAGGTCTCTTGACAGGCGTGGTGGTGTACACCTGTAATACCAGAGACTCAGGAGGCTAGGGCAGGAGGATTGCAAGTTTGAGGCCAGCCTCAGCAACACAGTGAACACAGTGAGGCCCTAAGCAACTTAAAAAGACCCTGTCTCAAAAAACAAACAAACAAAAAAAAAGGCCTCAGTAGTAAAGTACCTATGGTTTCAATTCCTAGTGCATGCACGCACATACACAAAATTAATAAAAGCAAGCAAGCAAACTTAGGTCTCTAAGATGTTCGAAGATGTACCTCAAGAACTTTGGCCACCTCTGGCTGTATTTAAAGATTACACATAGCCATCCAATTGTTATTCCAAGTTGTTCTCAGTAACAGAAAGGACTCCTCTATTTTCACTTGGGCCACATCTCAGGATATATCTCATACCTTCTCCTAGTCTTTTGGTCCTCAGATCCCTCACAAAGATGATTTTTGTCATTCATAATATCTTTCAACCTGTCTAGCTTTTTCTTTTACCTTCTCTTCCTATAAACATTATCTTTATTAATCCCATCTAGTTCTAATCAAACTATTCAAAAAGAATTCTCAGAAAGTATTTAAATTTTTTTTGTAATTGTAAATGGACACCTTTATTTTATTTATTTTTATGTGGTGCTGAGGATCGAACCCAGTGCCTCACACATGCTAGGCAAGCCCCTAAGCTACAGCCCCAGCCCCTCTCAGAAAGTTTTATATTATGTATTGCATCTGTTGTGTTGTTCGAAAGTGTGTTGTTTCACTTTTGCCTTTATTCATCACTAGCAGAAATAATCTCTCTCATAAGCAGCATCATGGTGTCATCTGAAAGAACTAGGCATAAAGATCAAAAGATTTGTGTGACTATTTCAATTCTAACAGTTACTGGATAGATGACCATGAATAAATTACTAGATTTCCCATTCATTCATTCATTGCCTAGTTTTGTACTATTCACTAAGCTAGGTGCTAGGAACAAATAAAATTAAAACACATTCTTTGTTCTTAACAACTCATAATGTAGTAGTATAAAGAAAAAGGTAAGCATATAGTACAAAATAAGTGCCATAATAAAAGACTTACACAGGGTTATCATAGGAACTCAGATGTAAGACCTAATAGACCAAAGTTGAAAATAGGAGAAACGAGAATACACTCTAGGAGGTTTCTCTGTGGTATAGAGAATGAGTAGGAGCTAGCCCAGTAAAGAGGCAGGAATACATCCCAGACAGAGAGTTCCAACTAAGGGGAAATGCACAGACTTAACTTCAATGCTAGGGGAATGAAAGTTCAAGGGAAAGTGTGAGAGAATAAGAATTGAAAGGAGGGGAGGGCTAGGGCTGGGGGTGCAGCTCAGCATTAGAGCACTATCTCCCAAGTGCGGGGTCCTGGATTTGATACTCAGCACCACATAAATAAAATAAAAAGGTATTATGTCCACCTACAACTAAAAAATATTTAAAAAAAAAAAAAAAAGAATTGAAGAGGGGCCAGGGCATGGAGACTGTTGGATGTTACATTTAATAGCTTGGACTTGATCTTTTAAGTCAGCAGCTATCAACAAGCATGCTGCAGTACACTGAAGTGTTGTGATTTAGTTACAAATGTGCTGGCACAGCTTGATAGATGTGTAAAATCTGCATGTAAATAAAGTAGAATGAGCTAGCAAAAAAAGTGAAAGGTAAGAGGCATTGTACAAAATCAGGCCAGAGTCAAAAGACTTCTTACAGTTAGCAAAACATTAAAATCTTTGTTTCTGGGCCATGTAAAACCAGGTAGCTGTTCAGTGCAGCACACACCTGTTATCCCAGTTATTTGGGAGGCTAAGGTGGGAAGATCACAAGTTCAAGGCCAGCCTCAGGAACTTGACCCTGTCTCAAAATAAAATTAAAAAGGGGCCAGGGGACCCAGCTCAGTGGTAGAATACCCCTGAATTCAATTCCTAGTACCATAGGGGAAAAAATATATAAAAACAAAAAATGTAGCCACTTTGAGATTCTGTATTTGCCATGGCTTTCCCCATGTTCAGAGTGAGGAACCTTTGTCTTCTAAGCACACCACAACTTCATCCACTTGTGCTAGGCCACTGAAGTTCAGTTGGGCTAATCTGGATTACAAACAAGCAAATCCTCTGGATCTAGACTGCCTTCACTACTGCTGGGTATTTTTGTTTGTTTCCTTTTTGTTACTGGGGATTGAACTCAGGGGTGCTTAACCTTGAACTACATTCCCTACCCTATTTTTTTGAGACATTAAATTGCTGAGGCTAGCCTAGAACTTGTGATCCTCCTGCCTTAGCCTCCTACATTGCTGGGATTAGTATGTCCCACTGTGCCTGGCTCTGTTGGATGATAAAGGGTTCATGAAAGCTGCTGATAAAGGAGAGACCTTCATAGATGGAGAGAAATTTGGAATGATTAGATATAGGGGAAGGGCAACTAGGAAAACAAAAATTCCTCAGTTTAATATTTCCACATTTTTATCATGCTATTGAAGTAAGCCATTTTAGTTTAGTAGCAGCACTGTGAAGTGTGATGAATCATACAAAGATTAGTGAAATACAAAGATTAGTGAATACTATCGTGGAATATCCACTAGCTTGTGTGGAATATTATCAGGATAGGTACTGATGTCAGTTAGTAACTGACCTTTGTTCTAGTCTCATAGATGTAGATCTCATAGAAGAGAATAATTAGAGGAGGCTGCTTTAGTTTAAAAGGTGATAAATGAGCCCATGCTCAAGGTTCATGTCCTACATTCTGTTGTCACATTAACTCAGTCTGATGACACTCACCCAGTACAGATAAGGCATTCTACCACAGGAACCCAAACTAACCTTTCTGCAAAATGGTTCTAGCCTTTTATGTGGTGGACTTCCAAGGGAGGTAGCTGTGCTTTCTGAAGGTCTGACTAGAACTCCTCATTTGACGTTTTCATCTGCAACTGTGGTCACTCCCCACAGCTTCAGAAGCTGCTAAACTCCTACCTACTTAAAAGTTATCTTTCTGCAATATATTGCGATTATACTTAAACCTTAAGCTTTTAATTGCTTTTATTCCTATTCTGCTATACTAGGGACAGACTCAGGGCCTGGCACATGCTAGGCAAATACTCCACCACTGAGCTATATATCTAACCCACCTCCTCCTCCTCCTTTTTAAAATATTTTTTAGTTGTAGGAGGACATAATGCCTTTATTTTTATTCATTTATTTTTAAGTGGTGCTGAGGCTCGAACTCAGGGCCTCACACATGCTAGGCTAGCACTCCACAGCTGAACCACAACCCCAGCCCTGCCCTCTAACCCTTCTTTAGATTTTTAAATTCATTTAGTCAAGTAGTACTTTCCTATTAATCTGAATTTTTAATAAGAGTAACTAGGCAATCTTTGAACCCCTTCATGTATACTACCAAAAATTCTTGCTCCATATTCACATTTTATTTTTACTGCTGGTTTAAATAATTCTCATTACTATGGCTGCAGAAAGACTGAAGGAACTCCAGACTTGGTTCAAGTGGGAAGACTGTCTTACTTCATTCCCAGGACCTTCAACTGAAAGGAAACCAGGGATCTGTCATCAACTTAGCAAATCAAAAGCTGGAGCCAAAAAGATACCTCAGCATGAATTAGCAGAAGCAAGAGCTAGGACTTTTAAGTCAGGTAAAGCTGGGTTCAATTTCTAGATCAACCATTTAAATTACAACTAACCGGGACAAGATTAAAAAAAAAAAACCCAAACAAACAAACAAACAAAAAAAAAACAGTCTCTGGGTCTCTTAGGCAAGAGTAAAAAGAATGAAGTTACATTAATCACACAAGAGTTAACAGACGGAAAATACTGTCCTGAGCATTTCTTTTTCCTTGCAGTGCTGGGGATGGAACCCAGGGCCTCATACATGGTAAACAAGATCCCTACTCCTGAGCCACATTCCCAGGCCACCCGGCTTTTTTATCTGGATGGCAAAGAAACTCAGCAGTGCAAACTTTTTCAAGTGCTTAAGTTTAACCTCAGGGCAATAATGGAGAGATTTTCAAAATTTAAAATAAAAACCTGTAAATTGTTAGTGTACAGAATGGAAAAACAGTGCAACCTGGGACATTTTTCGTGAATAAATTCTAAACACTGCGATTAGGGAAAAGGGTCAAAAGGTCAGTTTATGGTTTAAGAGTTATTTTTAATTGCCAGATATTCTGAACACATTTAACAATTTTTCCTCTTTTGTACCCAGGATTCCTTATAACTATTCACCCCACCCAAGAAGGTAAGAGTACATTCAGTTCCACAGAAAAGAAGCAAAATGATAAAAGTATCCAATTTACTTATGATAAGGTAGGAAAAAAACCATCCCTTTTTTTTCCCACTGGAATCCAAAATATGATAAAAGGAGACAGAAAGACATCAGCAAGTTTGAGTGAAATGGACATTTATATTGAAATATGCACTAAACAGAATGAGTACTAATAGTCAAGGAAACTTTGCCAAAGCAGAGTCACAAGCTCCCCTTGGGGAGGTTCAGACAGCCAGCAGCAGTGATTCCCCAAAGGAACACCCCAGGGGAGTCTGGGGCTCCTCTCCAAAAAGCCTCCTTTTAAGAGGCGCCCACTCACTGCTCCCACATGGACCCACACAGATTCAGGAGCCTGGACATGCTCCTCCTTTTCAAATAATTTTAGTTTCTTCTTCACTGCAATAAATATAAAATTGGCAATGTTCATACACCACAGCACAGACATTATTTCAGGCTTTAGCATACAACTGTAAACAGTGACTAGGTTAAAAAAAAAAAAAAGGCCAAGAATTTCTTTTTATGTTTATAAACAAGAGTTAACAATTCTTTTCCTTTTTTGTGATACGAGGGATTAAATACAGGGCCTCACGCTTCCTAGGCAAGCGTTCCACCACTGAGCTACATACATCCCCAACAGGTTTGTTTTGAGACAGGGTCTTCCATGCTAAATTGCCTGGGGTGGTCTTGAATTTGGGATCTTCCTGCCTCTGCTTCCTAAGTAGGTAGAATTACAGGCAGGCATGGATTACAATTCTTAAGAATGGACCATGAGCTACTTAAGATTTGTCTTGGTGGATTAAGATTTTTGACAGAAGATTCAAGGTGATGGCCAGATCACTGCCTATGGCAACCTACACTGTGTGGGCAACAAAATAACTTGCACTAGATCACCCTGAGGCAGTCTACCTTCAACCCAAACACAGACATCTTTAAAGTTCCATCACTGGCTACCAAATAGCAGGAGGGTGGGCAAAGGGATTAAACTTTTCTGGGAAAGGAACAGAACAGTATCTCTACTAGCTGCCTGGAAAGTTGGCCCCTTAAATCACAACTAAGACATTTCACGGACAGTGGATTAAATTTATATTTTTTAAAAAGTACAAAGACTTTGCAGTAAATTCTGTCACTGAAGCAAACTGGGATGTTAATCAAAGTAAAAAATACATTTTGTCTAGAGCAGTGCAAAGAAATCTTGGCAAGAAATGACAGTGGACTCAACATCTGCACATTAGCAACAGGGCAGAATTTTATTTAAAAGGCTAGTGGTTCAAATACTATTGCTTGAATAGCTCTGGTAGATATAAAATGTACTATCATCTGAGAGTTATACACATAAGCAAAGGAGCTGAGGCCAGCTCACAAAGGGATATTTGATCCTCAGTGACAAGAGAAGCTAAAAGCGCATGCTTGTAGGAATAACCTCAGGGATTTATTTGGACCATATTCCCACCACCTCTGACAGACACAAAAAGACCCAGATAGGAACCTGGCTTTCCACACAAAATTCTGGCTTAATTAACACTCCTTCCTGCAACTATATATCTCATTAAGAATAAAAAAAAAAATCTGTCTTGAAATGCTGAAGAGCCTGGGCTACCAAAAATAAAAAGGAAATTTTAATATAGTAAACAAGTTTAGTAAACACCATGTATATTTTCTGTTGTTAATGAAGACATGATACATTCAGAAAACTAATCTTTTTTTAAAGACAAAAAAAAAAAAAATCCTAGAAAGAGGCTCAACAAGGAAAAAAAACAGCCCAAGTTTAATCCTTCTCAGTCAGATGTGAGTACTACAAAGATCAGTACCTTTCTATGAACACACAAAGCCCTGCCAGTTGCTTTGCAAGCAGCACATAAAACATATACCTTCGTTACTGAATATGAATTTAAGCAGAATCATTGCAGAGCATTTTGATGGGTCATATCACTACCCAATCTGGTCCAGTTTAAAATATGTTTGTAGATCCAGTTTGTATGTATTTCATAGGTATATTAAACAATAAACCACCTACTGTTCCATTATTTTCTTAAATGGCAGTTCTTATAGTTCAAGCAAACCATTAAGATTATAAAGAGCGCTTTTGAAATTCTCAGATAAAGATACATTAATAAGAAACCTGAAAAGTTAAGTGAACCTAGTGTTTTTTTTACTAAACTGCCAGGATAAAGGTAGAAAGCCTATCAGTAGCTTTACTGTTTTCTCACGAAATGTCAAAAGATTTTTTTGACTGATATTAAAAAAAATAAAATATAGAGCTGGGGCAAGAGGGTAGTTCAGTGGTAGAGTGCTTGCCTAGCATGAGCAAGGCCCCGGGGTTTGATTCCCAGCACTGTAAAAATTAAAAATATACACCACAGAATACTACAAAATTTGAAATGTCAGGCATTATGGAATGAGAAACAGAGTTCTGATTTTTTTTTTCATAAAAGGAAACTGTAATAGGTTTTAATGAAAAAACAAACTAGAACTCTGAATATGGATAACACTACACAGACTCTAGCACAGAACATCACACACAAGAATGAGTTACACATCAGTAATATCATCATGAGAGTAACTGGCTGGGGACTCAGACTTCCAGCAATGGAGCTCCTAGATCAAAATTTGTTAAAAGCTCGTAAGGTCAATAAAGACCAAAAAATAAAATTAAAAAGGAGAAGGGATGAGGAAATAAAGAGGAGGAAAGGCTGCATGCATGAGTCTATTATAGACATGATATTCAGCAGCATAAAAAATAATACCCTCCAAAAAGCTTGTCAAAGGGGGCAAAACCTATTTTTCACTGTTAAGCATGGGAAAGATAAAGAGTGGTACAAATTCACTTGTAACTATAGCATCTCCCATATTTGAGTAATACACATTTAATATGATGCTATATGATAAGAAAACACCAAGGACATATATGAGTAAAACAAAATAAAACAAAAGGCTAAATTATGAACCTTAAAAACTGGAAAAAAAAAAACCACATCTGTTTAAAGTCAAATAGGTGTGATTCTGATAATTATCATATGACATAATCCATAGAAAAAGGCCAAGAAAAGAATCTTCATATTATTCAGTACTTGGGCTTGATGATATCCTAGGAAAAACAGTGATAATTCAATGAATGTGTCACACAAACAACTAAAAAGTCACCTTCTGGTTTCAAATCAATTTAAACAACAATCTTCCTTGGCTAATTTTTCTCCTGTGTCAAACAAAACTTCTATATACAGGACCAGTTTAAATCCCTCCTCCCTTCAAACACTAGATATGAGCATCCAGGAGCATTCTACAATGCAAAGTGCCTTAAGAAAGAGGATTCTGTAGTGCCAGTGATATAACTGATCTGAGGAAGCTGGGATGCTATTAACACTGATGGGAGCCAGTCAGGCAATGGTGGTCTGTTTCTCCTCAGGTGTTTCCTCCAGCAACTGCATGATCAGTTCATGGAGGGGTTTGCAGATCTTTGCATAGCCCCCGCCTGTGAGATGCAGAAAATCAAACATGTCATGGCAGGAGATGGCACCGTCCGAGTGCACGAAGCCCCCATCTGTATCCAGGAGCTGCACATTTGCAAGCTTCGGTAGGGAAACCTTGAGAAGCTGGTTCACCTTGGCATTCTTTTGCCGCAAAGGGTTGGGCTTCTCACCTCGAGGTAATAAACCCTGGGGCAAAACAGAGAAGAACATTAAGTTTGAAGGTTCAATTGTTTTTCTTCACAAGCTTGTGATTTCAGATATTTCTGGAATACTTATTTCATTTGACACTGTAAATAATCTTTGATTTCTAAAACACGAGATTAGTTTTAGTGGAAGCTGACCAGTCCTGCTTAATTTCTTCCTTTTTCTTTCCTCCTCCTGTCACTCAATTCTTGGCTGGTATTCTTGGGGAGGCACCCTTAGCCTACTATTATCTCTACTCTGAACACTTCACCCTAAAGCTTCAGAATTACATACTGAACTTCTGGCTACAGAACCAAACCTGGATGCACTTGAGGTACTCCCAACATGTTCAAAAGCAATTCATCATCTTCCTCTCAACCTATGCTGTTACATTCTATCAACTGGTCATTCCAACATCCCTGAGTCTCTCATCCCACACACCTTATTTATCACTGTTACTGTGCTGTTGCATCCTAAATATTTCTCTAAACCATCTACTTTGTGTGTGTGTGTGTGTGTGTGTGTGTATTTTAGCTGTAGATAGACACAATATCTTTATTTAGTTATTCTTATGTAGTGCTGAGGATCCAACCGAGTGTCTCACACATGTGAGGCAGGCACTCTACCACTGAGCTACAACCCCAGCCCTAAACCATTTACTTTTTTTCATCCTGATCATATACACACAGTGCTATAGCTCAGGAACTTACCACCTCAATTCATGTAAAAATGAAATGTCCTAACTAGACTTCCTAGCTCCATTGTTGTTTTCCATTCAATCCCGTCTCCTATAGCTATCAAAAAAATCTAGCTCAAAGCCATAATTATTAATGCCATATGGAAGATACACCATAATACACTAGAAGAGAATTGGAACCAATGCAGTCTTGGTGAATCAGAGCCACATAATACCTGGCAGGATAAAACAAGGTGCCCTAAAATGATTTTAACTTGTATTAGTGATCTAATATAATTTTCAGGTAGATAAGAAGTCTGTCAGCCTACTAAAAAAGAAAAATGCCTACTCTTTCTTATATAGAGCACAGTTTTATCATCCCAAACTAGCAGTAGTCTTTATAGAAAACTGATCCCATTACAAAACTATTGTCAGATATCCCCAACCTAACTGGGTGTAGTGGTGCACACCTGTAATCTCAGTGACTCAGGAGATTAAGGCAGGATTCTGAGTTCAAAGCCAACCTCAGCAACTTAGTGAGAATCTGTCTCAAAATAAAACATAAAAAGGGCTGGAGATGTGGCTCAGTGGGTAAGAGTCTCTGGGTTCAATCCCTGGTAATAAAAGAAAAAAAAAATCCCTAATATTTCAGTTGGTTGATACCCAATAGAAGTTACTTTTATTTAAGCAAAAATTTTTCCACTAGCTTCTCTTATAGGGTCTGTATGGTAACAGGTCTTATTTTACAGAAGTATATTTTCTGCAAGTATATTTTTTTCATTTGTTTATTCATTTACTTATTTTTTGTATGTGGTGCTGAGGATCGAACACAGGGTCTCGCACATGTGAGGCGAGTGCTCTACTGCTGAGTCACAACCCCAGCCCCTGCAAGTATTTTTTTAAAAAGCATAGCTGGGAGGCTGGGGTGTGGTTCAGTGGTAAAGCACTTGTCTCTCACGTGTGAGGCACTGGGTTCGATCCTCAGCACCACATAAAATTAAATAAACAATAAAAATACTGTGTCCATGTATGATTTAAAAATATTAAAAAAAAACATGCTCAAAATATATACATTTTCATGTCTAAGCTTTTTCAGAAAATGTTAGGGCCAGGAGTACCAATTTATTTTATAAGTTTATAGCTCCAAAGAGATATAGAGAATTATGATTCATTACCCTGGTCCATTACTGTCTATCCTTATTAAGTATCTCAAAAATTTCACAAAATGAAGTCAAACCCTAGTTTGTATTTCTGTTAAAAGCATAAGGTGTTGTATCTAATAGTTAACAAAGAAGAACACTCTTCAGTGCTGACATGTCAAAGTCTGGGTAGAGATATAATGAACAATAGGAAAGATGACCAGTGAATATCCATCAACAACACATATATATATATATATATATATATATTTAAGTCTCAAGAACAGGGAAACATATTTATTGAGATTTTTTTTGCCAAGGATGAGAAAAATTATGCATTTGAATGCCATCTTCCTTAATATCACTATTGAGGGTATTCTATATGATTCCCTCCCCACATTGGTTTTTAACAACTGCTAAAATATGGTAATGTTAAAGGAAAAAAATATATATATTACACTCCTAATCCCTTCACCTTCTAACAAGTGTTAATTTTATTTCCTTTTAGCACTTTTCCAACTACATGTTTAAGTAATTCTAAATATAATATACATGTTGTTTAGCATTCCAACTTTTCATCTAAACTCACTGTTTTTACACAGCCCTTATAACTGTAATGTATTTAACACCAACATATTCAATGACTTATGTAATCACATCCCTATACTACTGGCTATTTAGGTTATTCCCAATATTTTAGTATTATCAATAATTAATACTTCTATATTTCAAATTTCAAAATCTGCCTAAAATAAAGAATATTTCCGGAAGATTTACCCAGCAACATCCATACAACAATATTTCCTAAACAACTACTAAATTCTTGTCACTATAATTTAAAAGTAAACTGTTAACCACAATACAATCCTTTCTGGAATAATACAGGATATATCAACAAGTAAATTACACCATGGAATAAAAAAAAAATAATAATATCTGGCTCTGTAGCATCGATAAATCAAAATCAAGTCTCCCTAGCATAGCATACTAGGCCACATGATACTGGCCTCTTCCTCCTGACCATTAGAGCCTCAAACTTTATATAGATCCTCCTATGTTTACCCAACAAATACAGGTACAAGTCTTTGATCATTTTCTTCTTTTTTCTCTGTAATGCTTCCAAAGTTCTTCCTTCCCCATTTGGAGAACAATGAATTCTTTAAAACTAAACTCTAATATGGTAATGTTTGTCTAAAACATCCTCTGTTCTTTCCTCACTGCCATCAGTATACAGTAGAGTAATTCTCTATATTGCTGTCTCCATCTACTAGACTGTGAACTCCCTCAGAGGGATGATGCCTTATTCATTTTTGTGTGCTCCGGACCTAGGATAGTGCCTTGTATACAATGATCCTCATGTCTGTTGAACAAATGGCTACCTTCTTAACATTATCTCATTAAAGAACTAAATATGTATCAGAGTTTACTAAAATGTACATTTCAAATATGGCTAAAAATATGTATATCTAGGCTTTTACACTAAGAAATATAGCTGTTTATCTTTAAGACTATGAAGAATAAGCTTTAACTTTACAAATGATAACACTTTCTGCTGAAGTAAGATTATGAAGTATCTCTTTTCCTCTTGATAAAAATTTCTGATGTTTTAGAGAATTCAGATATCCTAATACATATAACACCTCTAATATACTAACAGCAGACCAAACAACAAAGCTAACCTAAAACTAGGTTTATTAAAAAGAGACACAGGACTCAAACAAATCTCTATGTACAATTTTTTATCAATAAAGGTAACAAAGAAAAAGGCTACATGAGGCAACAAAGGATTTCCATATGTCTGAACAAAGATAAGCAGATAAAACAACCCTATAGTTGGTATAGGGAATGCTGAGACTAATAACAGTAGGATACATCAGAGAATAAAATAGGTCAAGAAGTAGTACCTTAAACTTTCACCTAAAGATTCTCCAGATTCATCAGCCACAGTATTTTTAAAAAGATTCCTCAGCAAAACTAAAGTATCAAATTCTCCACTCAACAAAGATTACGTACCAATACAATGATTTTGGCCTGTGGCTGCCTTGTGTTGATAAGCTGTACGATGGCCTCAATCCCGCCTGCTACCTCTTCAGCTGTATTTTCATGGTTGTTTGTTCCTACCCAGACAACAATGACCTGGAAGGACGGAAGAAGGGTGGGAAGGCGGGGAGGGGGGGGGGGAAATACCCAGAAATAAAGGAATGTCCAACATTTAGATGAAAATCTGATTTCAACAAAGAAAGAAATATGAACTTCTCAGATGATGCTGGGTAACTTCAACTAGGCAGCTATCTTAAAACATTGATTTATACCTCATATCCTGCATCAGGATAAATTCCATGCAGAGTAATATTTAATTGGCAAAACTATACTAGAAGGAAAAGAGAAAATTCTATTATTATAGAGTAGGAATCTAATTTCTCAAAATCTAGAAAATATATAAAAAAGATTTACGGAAAACTCAACTATATTAAAATAAAATCTAGGGGCTAGGGTTGTAGCTCAGTGGTGGAATGGCTGCCTAGCATGTGTGAGGCACTGGGTACGATTCTCAGCACTGCATATAAACAAAAAAAGATTACGAAAACTAAAAAATGTTTTAAAAATATAAATAGGGCTGGGGTTATGGCTCAATGGTAGAGCCTTGCCTAACATGCGTGAGGCACTGGGTTCAATCCCTAGCACCACATAAAAATAAACAAATAAAGTAAAGATATTGTGTTCATCTAGAACTAAAAAAAATTATTTGAAAAAAAAAGAGAGAAAAGAAAATGTCTAAAAAATACCAATCAATCAAACCTAGGCAGCCACAGTGGAACATGCCTGTTAATCCTAGTGACTCAGAAGGCTGAGGTAGGATTGCAAAATTAAGGCCAGCTTGTACAACTTAAGACTCTGTCACAAACAAACAAATAAATGGGCTGTGGATATAGCTAAGAAGTAGAGCATTCCTGGGTTAAATCCCCAGGATCCCCAGTAAAATCTGAGAAATATGGGGGGGAAAATGTAATTCACATCTCCCCGATTAGGAGCATCTCATATAACAACAGAAACTCTGAAGGGATTATAATGTGTATAAATACAAAGGTGAACTCAAGGAAAAGAGTCACCGGAGTGGAAGCTGGCTAATGTTCCAAAAAGCTTTCCTCTTAAAATAAAATAAATAATTTTACAAATTGGGTGTGGTGACACACAACTGTAATACCAGTGGCTTGGGAAGCTAAGGCAAGAGGAACACAAGTTCAAAGCCAGCCCCAGCAACTGAGTGAGGCCCTAAGAAACTTACTGAACCCTGTCTCAAAATAAAAACTAAAAAGGGCTGGGCAGTGTCTCAGGGGTTGAGTGCCCCTGGATACTGGAGGGGGGGGGGTATCATTCTACAAAGTGGCTGTCACTTAAGAGACATACATCTAATGATATGGCCCAACAAAACAACTTTCTGCCTTTCTGCTCCGTCCCAAAAGAGACACACGAGGGTTAGGGATGTAGCTCAGTGGCAGAGCACTTGCCTAGCATGAGGGAAGCCCCTGGGTTCAAACCCTGCACTGCAAATGGGAAGAAGGAAAAAAAGGAAAAAAAGAGGTGCATGGATACTTTCAATGAAATCAACATTTATCAGCTCAGCTTTGGGGTTTTTCTTTTTTTGCAGCACATGGACTTAGGATGTTTATAAGGTGATAAGGTACTGGATAGAGATGTTTATTTGTTTACATCTACTCCAAATTTTCTTCAGAGGAACTTGGAGACCTTGATTACCAATTTGCTTATATGGTAAATAGACCCACATTACTTCCTGAAGTAAATCATGGCCCTGTTCCCATGGCCCACCTAAGAGCAGTTTCCCCCTCATACTGCCCCAGGTCCATCACTCCACAGAAAAGCATATATTGTTAGCACTAAATCTTTTCCTACAACTGAAGAAAATAATTTTTAAAAATTTTAATATTTATTTTTTAGTTTTCAGCAGACACAACATCTTTGTATGTGGTGCTGAGGATCGAACCTGGGCCACATGCATGCCAGGCGAGCGCGCTACTGCTTGAGCCACATCCCCAGCCCATGAAGAAAATAATTTTAACAATTTCTTTTTCTTTACTGGGAGGAGGGGGTACTGAGGATTAAACCCAGAGGACTTTACCACTGAGGTACATACCTAGCCCTTTCTATTTCTTATTTACAGACAGGGTTTCGCTAAGTTGTTGAGGAGGCCTCAAACTTGCCATCTTCCCTGCCTCAGCCTCCCAAATCATTAGGATCATAAGTGTGCACCACCACACCCAGCTAGTTTTAACAATTTCAAATATAACCCAGGCAAACAATATGTAAAACATGAAGCAAAGAAGAATATTAAAGCAATGTGTTGTTTTTACTACAATTTCAGATAATTTAACAACTTAATTTGACAAAGACTTAAAGTTAAAGATATTCTTTTAAAAGTAAGTTTCATTTCACCTTAGGTTTAATGTTCTCCAGTTCTCCATTCTTTAATCTCCACAAAACGTGTCTTGTTGTATCTCCCCCAATTCCAAAATTAAGTGCATGAAGTGGGGAAAAAAGCTCTCGCCATATCTAAAGAGAAAACTTGGGTTAGTAAAGCTAAAATTAATGGAAAATGAAATTCTTCAATTGCAATGGGTGGTAAAGCCTCTAAAATAGACAATTTCCATTATCTCTACTCAAACATACTGCAAAGGGGATGTGAGGGTGATCTGGCTAAAACATCCGTGATCGCCAGGGTTGACTTAGCTGATCTGGCTGGCTAGGTGGGTGTTCCCTTCCTCCTTCACCTCTCCATGTGCTTCTCTCCTGAAGCTTTGTGCTCAAAGAGGATTACCTTCCCAATAAAGGATGACCATTCTTCAGTCAAAGGTATACAAGTAGCTATGCTCCCCTGCTAGAACCTCCAAACAAGCTCTCAAACACAATGCAAATGATGTGCCATTCACTGTTTAAACAGCTTTGAAGATGCCATTGTGTTGTAACAAATTCTTAATGCAGCACTGAGCTCAAGAACTCAGTCACAACTCAATCTGATGATCTTTAAAAGATCCCAACATTTTAAAATTAAGCTACCAATTCAATAAACTCTCCTTTTCAATTATTCAACTATGTTTTAAAAATCGGGTGAAACAGAAACACATGAGCCAAAAAAAATAAAAAGCAATGTCTTCTTTTAAATTTCCCTCAGAAAAATGCCCAACCCCCAAAAAAGATTTGGAATAGCTCATTACAAAAATAAATAAGACAGCTTTGAGTTGCTATCGTCTCTATTTTCTTCAGGGTCAGCCTTAAACAAACAATTCTTTCCTAGCAACACTTGTCTCCTAAATATTAGTATCTGAGCAACAGATAGGCCAGACCGTTTTGGTGAGCCAGTCAGGAGAAATGTGCCCTCTGGTGGCCCTCCCAATTTGTATGGAAAGGAGCAATAATCACATGTAAAGGCAACTTGCTGTACATGGTGAGCCAAACCAGCAGGCTGGACTTTAGGGAATGATCCAGGAATAAATAAGTCATCTTTTCATCTTGGGGAATCTCCCTTCTTTTCTGCTCAAAGTGATAAGGTACTTATAAATGACTTGGTGGTAGAAGTAAACAGTCCTTGGTCTTTGGAGAACCTTATAAGGTCCTCCAGCCAGGCATGTCATACCAAGGAGCACAATTAAGATCTTTAATCTTCACTGTTTGGGGCTATAGCTTAATAGCCATTTGGACATTGCTTGGGCAGTTTGGGGGTACCAACTGATGTGAATAAGACTCAGAGAATTAGGGGGAAAAAAAGAAATCCCTGCGTCTCCATCAGGGAAAAATTCATTTGGAGAGAACTCTTTGGTGGTTTTTTCTATAGTAAAGACTCTAGGAAGAGAAGTAAATTAATGATTCAGAAAGGAAAGAAAGACATTATTACCTGGTAGTAATCCTTGGGAAAAATAAAAAACAGAAATTGGTCTTCTAAATGCATTAAATCCACATCAGTTGGTGTAGAGACATGATACTACTAGGTCCCATATATTTAAATTAAAAAATAAATAAACATAACATCAAACTACTTAGAAGTCAGAACAAAAAACAGTTTAGAAACAATGCTGTTTTTGTTTTTAAATCATGTTTGGTGGCACCAAGAATCCCATCAGGTAGGTCTGATTTCCCTTGTACTTTGAACTAGAGCTTCTCTAAAAGTTATGAATAAATCTATACAGTCAGATCACAATGAAAGTCTGTTGGTAACTAACAGATACATACGAGTAGCCATGAACCAACCTCTCCCCACTTTTACCTCATATTGTTGCATTAACTGTACCATGGAGTCTCCCACAAATAGTACATCGGGCTCTTTGTCTTTGCAGTCCAGGACAAATCTATTGTGCTGGTGTAAAGAAAAAAGAAAAAATCAGAAACTGGCATTTATTTCCCTGAGACTTCTTGGCCTAGAAGGAACAAACAAATGTTTTATTGTTAAAACATTTCTCTTTGGCTTGGGGCGGGGGGGTATAGTTCTGTAGTACAGAGCATACTTAGCCTGTGCAAGGCCATGGGCACCAAAAAAAAAAAATAAGCAAAAAACCAAACTCAAAAAACAAACACCTTTTTGGTCTATCCTTAAAGTTATTCTTATTTTGTGATCAACCAACTCTCTTCCTCCCTTACCATATATTGATCACTTTTGTATGATCAAGAAAACCCAAATTCTACTGAAACCAGAAAAGAAAATTACATTTCATGTTTTTTAAAAATTTATTTATCTTTTCCTCATACATTCTTTATATATACCTATATACATACTGGGGATTGAACCCAGGGGCTCTCTCCCACTGAACACCAACTGGTGTGGATTTCAAGCATCCTTAGCCCTTTTTATTTTTTGAGACAGGACCTCAAGTAAATTGCTAAGGCTAGCCTCGAACTTGCAATCCTCCTGCCTAAGCATTCCAAGTCCACAGGATCACACGTATGTGCCACTGCACCCAGCTTCCTCAAACTTTTACTAAAAAATTTTCCAGGTTTGGGCTGGGGCTGTAGCTCAGTGGCAAAACGCTTGCCTTCCAAGTGTGAGGCACTAGGTTCAATGCTTAGCACCACATAAAAATAAAATAAAGGCATGTTGTCCATCTACAACTACAAAAAAATGAAAAATAAAAATAATCCCCAGGTTTGCCAGGCGCAGTGGCACACACCTGTAATCCCAGTGGCTCAGGAGGCTGAGGCAGGAGGACTGCAAGTTCAAAGCCAGCCTCAGTAAAAACAAGGCACTAAGTAACTCAGTGAGACCCTATCTCTAAATTAAATACAAAACAGGGCTGGGGATGTGGCTCAGTGGTTGAGTGTCCTGAGTTCAATACCTGGTATTGCCCCCCCACCCCCACCCCACCAAAAAAATTCCCAGATTCATCTCTATGTATGTGCATATGTTTGCTGAACAATTTAAAAGGGTAAGTTGCAAATATGATTCTTTGTCCCCTAAATATTTTTGCACACATCTACTAAAAGGACATTCTTCTATGAAACCATCAACTACTTTCATACTAAAAATGAATAATAATCCCATAACATCAATATTCGATCCATTTTCAATCTTTCCAATTGCTCCAAGAGCTAAACTGTTTCTATCCTTTTAAAAAAAATTTTTTTTTTAGTTGTAGATGAATACATAGTATCTTTATTTTTATGTGACGTTGAGGATCCAACTCAGTGTCTCCCATGTGGGAGGCAAGCGCTTTACCACTGAACTGTGTCCCCAGTCCTCCTCCTTCCTTTTTTAGAGACAGAATCTCAGGCTGGGATATAGATCAGTGGTAGAGAATTTGCCTATCATGTGCAAGGCCCTGAGTTTACTCCCATGTGTGTGCATGCACATGTGCACACACGGGACAGAGTCTGGCCTAAGTTGCCAAACAGGTCCGAATTCCTAGTTTTGAGTGATCCTCCTGCCTTAGCCTCCTGAGTAGTTTGAGATACAAGCATGTGCCAACACACCTAGCTAAGACACTTTTGAAAATGAATTTTACCCATCATGCTAAAAGACAAAATTTTAAATTTTATATTCATCCCAGAAACAAATTTGCAGGATGCTTTAAGATAGTTCCTCAGGAAGGTATGAACACTGTTTCTTTATTTTCCAACTCTACATTCTACTGTTTCCCTTAGGAATTAAGGTAGAATTGCTATTTAAAGTATTTCTGGTGACAACAGCAATGCAGATGACACAATGGTGAAGAGATATTCACCCACACAGTGGAATGAATAAATGAAAGTAATGAAAATACTTCCAGAAATAATTTGACAGTTTTGATTAAAACAGTTCTTTCTCATAGTGATAGAATCAAGGATAGCCAGCTTGCCTGCCTATCTTTCTCCCTCCCTCCTATTTTTTTTTTTTTTTAATATAAGAGACTGAATCCCTGGGGTGCTTTGTCACTGAGCTATATCTCCAACCCCTTTCATTTCAAAAGGGTTTTTTTTGGTATCACAGACTGAACCCAGGGGCACTTCACACTGGAGCTACAACTCCTCTCCTCCTTTTTTAAGACAGGGTTTAAGTTGCTTAGGGCCTTGAACTTAATTCCTCCTGCCTCAGTCTCCCAAATTACTAGGATTACAGGCACACCACCATGGCAGGCTCTAGGCCTCTTTTAAATTTTTTAAAATTTTGAGACAAAATCTTGTTAAATTACCCACGCTGGCCTCAAACTTAAAATCCTCCTGGCCTCAGCCTCTTGATTAGCTGGAATCATGGGTATGAGCCAGCCCAGCATAATTTTTTTCTTGCTTCCATGTTTTGTGCAATAAACTTTTTTTTTAATTACTATTTTTTCCAGAGGTATTTTCAAATTGAAAGGTGAAGATAAAACAAGAATAAACCAGGGAGCTGGGAGCACAACTTAGTGGAAGAATACACATGACTGGCATGCACAAGGCCCTGTGTTTGATTTACAGCATTAAAAAAACCCAAACAACAACAACAAAAAAAAAACCTTAGCTATTTCAAGTGTCAACTCTCTATTGCATGCACCAATTACCACTTTCAATATCAACAAGACAGCTCATGTTTATAGAGTAACAGAATTTAAGCATTGGTGTTCTAAAGATTCTAGCACTTCACATTTCAAGTACAGAGGCAGAGCTGTGAGTGGTGGTGCACACCAGCAACCTGGGAGGCTAAAGCAGGAGGATTGCAAGTTGGAGGCCAGCTTTAGCAACTTAACAAGTCCCTGTCTCAAAATTTTAAAAAAATAAAGCAAGGACTGGGGATGCAGCACAGTGTGGTCAAGTACACCTGGATTCAATCCCAATATCAAATAAAATAAATCAATAAAGTATAGAAGTAGTTGTATTAAGTTTCAAAAAAAAGAGAAAAGACTAATCCAAAACTATTACCATTTTAGGATATTTTCTTCTCATCACTTTTTTTCACATGATCCTATCTATCTTCTACTCCCCTCACCTTTTGTTTTGTTTTAAACACAGTTAATCATCACAAACACCTCCTCCTGGCACAATGGGTTTGGGGGTCAGGGGCAAAAGAACTATACTCAAATTCTATCTTTTTTATTTTCTAGTCTCGTGACATTAAAGCAAGTGCATAATCTGAGTCCTGGTTTTCACAGCTGGTGATAATTCTCTTTTTGGAGTTTAGAAGATCATTCTATGAAAAGGGCTCAGCTATTGTATGGCACATAATATATAGTCAGTAAGCAACAACTATTAGAACTGTACTCAACATTATATTGTGTGCATTTTTCTATGTAGTTTTTATGATTTTTATAACCATATTTTTAATGGCCATATCATCTTCTTTGAATGCATCCACTGCTGTTCCAAAGGTTCTGATACTTTACAATTCTTTTACAGTACAAAAATAGTTGTAATAAGCTTGGAAAAATAGCAACAAGTTCAATATCATTTCCCTCAAGAATTAACTCATCTTTCTAGGATTGAGATATGGAATAAGCAACAAATGTCTTCATCTGAACCCTACAGATTTTTCACCCAGGAAATCCTGAATTCAACAAGAAACCCATTCTCCTGAATAATGATGTGGATGGGGAAGTGAGCATACAGAGATCTTGTCTTCTCACAGAAGCTCAGGGCTTGATTGTATTTTGTACAGGACTAAGGACAGTGTGAACAGCAGCCAGTTCCTTTCTATTTCCCCACTATTTGTCAACCTAAAGCCTATTCTTTTTCTTTCTAGGGAGACAAACTTCCATATTGATGTGACTGAAGTCCCTCTGGGGCCCTTCACAATAACCAGGCGTCCCTTCAGAGTGATGTTGACATTTTCTGGAATGTCAACACTCTGACTACCAAGAACAACCTTCATTTTCACAGTAGATGCAGTACAGAGCTTCAAATTTATAACAAATGAGCTATATAACAATCTATACTGGTTAGTGATGTATTAGAATTATTCTTATTGTACTTTCACTTGAACTGATTATTAGCTCTCCTACACCACTCCTTTCTTTTTCCATTTCAGGAAACAAAAGTTAAATACTTCATGTCATGACTTTTGAGGTACTTACATTCTAATACTTTGAGGATATTTTTATTGATAATGTAACCAAAGAGATCAATGCTTCATTTGCAATATTTACTACAAATATTTTCCTCAGTCTATTGCTGAGCCTTATTTTTCAAGTTAATAGGCTCCCCCCATTTCTTTTTTTGATATTAGGAAATGAACCCAGGAGGTCTTAACCTCTGTCAAGTTAATAGGTTTTGCAATGATTTCTATTAAGTTTGCCTATAGTAGGGTCTATATATAACCTTTTTGTAAAAAGCTGATTAAGGAAAATATAAAATGTTCACAAAGTTAAGAGAATAACACAAGGAACTGCCATGCATCCATCGTGAGCTATAGCAATAACATAACTTTCTTTGGGTGAGTGAGGGTACCAGGGATTGAATTCAGGGGCACTCAATCACTGAGCCACATCCCCAGTCCTATTTTGTATTTTATTTAGAGACGGTCTCACTGAGTTGCTTAGCACCTCGCTTTTGTTGAGGCTGGCTTTGAACTAAATCCTCTTGCCTCAGCCTCCGGAGCTGCTGGGATTACAGGCATCTGCCACTGTAACCTGCTACAATAATATAACTTATGGCAACATTTTTCTTCTTTTTGCAGTACGAGAGATTGAATCCAAGGGCACTTAACAACCGAGACACATGCCCAGCCCTTTTTTTAGATTTTATTTAGAGAAAAGGTCTCACTGAGTTACTTAGGGCCTCACCAAATTGCCAAGGTTGGCCATGAACTTGGAATCCTCCTGCCTCCACATCCCATGTCAACAGGATTACAGAGGTGTGCTACCACACCTAGCTCCTGGCAACTATTATTTCAGTCATACTCGCAACTACTATCCCACCCTACCCCCGGATTATTTTGAAGCAAATCAAAGATAAATAATTCCAGGTATAAATATTTAAGTATGTAAATCTTTAAAAAGACTTTAAAAACTATAACCACAATAGCAATTTTACTCCAAAAACATAAAACAGTAGTTCCTTAACAGCAATAAATAACCAGGGTCCAAATTCCACATTTCAATTTTTGTTTGATGTTTTTTTTTAAATAAAGCAGGATGTTAATAAATTTCTAAAATTCCTTTTAACCTACAGATTGCCCACCCTTCTGCTACAATCTCCTAAATTTACTTTTTGAAAAATATATTGACATATAAATTTTTTTGATTGCATTCCCATAGTGAGAGTAAATATCTTCATCTGTCCTTGGTGTTCCCTGAAAAGTACTAATTTTTTTTTTTAAGTACTGGCGATTGAATCCAGGGGCACTTAACCACTGAGCCACATCCCCGCCTCTTTCTTTTTATTTTGAGACAGGGTCTCATTAAGTTGTATAGGACCTTGCTAAATTGCTGAGACTAGCCTCAAACTTGTGGTCCTCCTGCCTTAGCCTCCTGAGTCACTGGGATTACAGGTGTGCACACCACACCTGGTAAGGGTTAGATATTTTGGCAATATAGTAGGCACTCTATATTATCGAGTTCTGCATCTGCAGATTCAACCAACCTGATCAAAACTACTGTCAACTTTTTCCTTTTCATTCCATAAATAACAGAGTATAACAACTACTTATAGGGCACTTACATTGTATTCAAGTAATCCTGAAATGATTTAAAGTACACAGGGAAATGTGCATAGGGTTGTATCCAAATACTATACCATCTTATGTAATAAGTTGAGCATCTGTGAATTTTGGTATGGGGAGAGATTTCCCTGGAACCAATCCTCCATGAATACCTAAGGACAACAGTCCACAGGTATTTCATGGGTATTATATCTCATGCTTGTTTAATCATAATTGTTTTATATTTTTCTTTTTAAAAAATATTTTACTTTGAAATAATTTTAGGTCTACAGAAGAGATGCCAAAGTTAAGAGTATTCCCATATACCATTTCCTCACAGCTTCCTCCAATGTTAACATCTTACATAAACATGGTACTTTTATCAAAACTAATATCAATAAATACTATCAACTAAACTAGATTTTTTATTCGGGTTTTTTTTTCCTCCTTGGTACTGGGGATCGAACCCAGTGGCACTCTACTGCGGAGCTATATCCCCAACCCTATTTTATTTAGAGAAAGAGTTTTGCTAAATTGCTGAGGCTGGCCTCAAATTTATACAACTATCTCCAAAGTTGCTGGGATTATAGGTTGTGCACAGGTGTGCATCCAGCTCATTCAGCTCTTACCTGATTTTCTACTAATGCCCTTTTTCTGTTCCTGGAACCAGTTTAGGATACCATGTCAAATTTAGTCCTCATATCTCCTTAAGATCTTCTAATCTGAGACAGTGTTCTGATCTTGTCCTTTGTAACTGACACTTTTGATAAGTAGTGGTCAGGTGTTTTGTAAAATGTCCTCAATCTGGGTTTGACTTCCACAGAGGTGATACATCCTTTTTGATATGTAGGGTACATGACCTTAATATGACTTATTACTGATGATGTTAACAGAGGTTCTCAGCACCACATATGAATAAATAAAATAAAGACCCATCAACAAATACACACACACACACACACACACACACACGTATATGTAAACAGACTTAACTCTCTAGCTGCTGGAGAAAGGAATATCAAAAAATAATGGTCACATGTTAAAATTATCAAAGTAATTTCAGGGGAGACCCTCTGAGGCTAGGCAAATACTACACATTTCTCCTTAAAGTGTATCCACCAATTTTAATATTGATCAGTGGAGCCTGCCTATGGATATTATAATATGCAAGTCCACCGATGATTTTATTTTCCCTCCTTCCTTCTACATTCATTAAAATTCTAGCTGTCCACCACTGTGCACACTTGAAACCACTATGACTCAGGATGTTGAGGCAGGAGGATCCCAAGGTTGAGGCCACCATGAGCAACTTAGTGAGATGTCTTGAAATGAAAAATAAAAAAATTGGGGATATAGCTCGGTGGTAGAGCAATCTAGAGTTCAATCCCTAGTAACAGGAGAAACACACAGTACACACACAAAACCCACTTTAGTGGAACAAATGGAGAATTTTTTTAAAATTTTTTTAATATATATATTTTTAGTTGTAGATGAACACATGGTATCTGTATTTATTTTTATGTGGTACTGAGGATCGAACTCAGTGCCTCACACATGCGAGGCAAGTGCTTTTCCATTGAGCTACAGCCTCAGCCACACAACTAGAGAAATTTGAATATGGTTTATAGATTAGGTAATAATATTCTATCAATGTTAAATTTCTAATTTTAATTAGTTATGTTTAAAAAAAAAAAAGAGTCCTCAGGAGCTGTGGCTGAGGCTCAGGGGTAGCGCACTTGCCTGGCATGTTTGAGGCACACTGGGTTTGATTCTCAGCACTACATATAAATAAATAAAGGTCTAACAACTTAAAAAAAAAAAAAAGCGTTATTTGAAAGAAAATAAAAGTCCTCATTCTTAACAAATATTCTAAAATACGTAGGGAAAAACAAGAATAGAGAGCAAACTTACCCTCAAATGGTTCAGGAAAATTAGTATGTTGGAATATACAAATAGATTCAGACAGAATTAGGCAGATATGGCAAAATGTTAATGATTCCTAAATCTAGGTAAAGGATATAGGACATTCTTTCTAAAATTTTTGCAATATGTGTTTAATTTCAAGACTTCTTTAAAAAAAAGTTTTTAAGACATTACTATCTTTTTAAAAATTTTTATTATTAGTTATTCAAAACATTACATAGCTCTTGACATATCATATTTCATACATTTGATTCGTGTGTGTTTTTTTTTTTTTTGACATTACTATCTTTTAAGACCAACATAGGACAACCACCAAGCTATCAAAACATTCCTCAGCTCCAACGACAGACTAGTGCTCAGGAACATTTCTAACACTAGATTTTTTATTCATAGGTATATATTTATACATTGCAGCTTTGGTCAAAAGACTCCCCCAAAATTGAGACTTGTCCCATGTGAATAATAGATATGCACTTTCTTTTACCTGAGACATCCATCTGTCATCTCCTTGAATATCTTCTGCTGCATGTGGAATTGCTGCTGGGTTTGAGTCTCCTTGGCTCATTCTATACCTGAGAAAAAATGTCTATGTCATGTTCATTTATTAAAAAGAATGCTTGTTATCACTTAAATATTACATCACAGATTTTAAATAATTTGTTTCATAATGGGTTTTGGCCTAGAAATTAAACTGGGATTTATTTTCAATTGTTACAGCAATTATTAGAGTCCACTAATTACTAAATATCACAAAACAACTCTTATTACAGATATGATAAAACCAGTCATAACCTGGAACTAATTTTGAACAATTTTTTACTAGTTATTTTTATTTTTTTTACATGTCTTCACTAAAAACATTTTAGTGATGATGAGCTCAAATATGGACCCAATGGTAGTCAGGAGGAATAAGTAAAATTCAGAAAAAATTAGAAATCCTAATCTTCTACAAAGACAAATAGGAATCCAGATCATTTTCAACCAGTTCTGGAGAATTCATACTAGAAACAGACTTCATATGCAAAGACAACAAAAAAAGAAAAATCCAGGTCTTTTATGACTTATACACAAAAAGGAGGCCATCCTCAAACTAGAGTCAGGCTTTCTCTAAATGAAAACTGATATAGTAAATAAAAAATATAAATTCATTTCAAACACACATACTTGTGCACATTTGAGCATGCACATAAATACACACAAAAAGTACCAAAAACACCACATCGGGGATTGCCAAGGGAGTTCTTTCTTTGTTTTTGGTGCTGGGGATCAAACCTGGGGCCTCAGGAATGTCTACCAGTAAGCCATACCCAAAAAAGTAGTAGTTTTTAGACTCTCAAAGTACCAAGCTATAAACACAAAAGCATAACCTTCTCATTAAAAATACATTATAGAAGCAAATAATAGTATTATTAATTATAAAATTAGCTCAGTTCTAAATGATACTACTGAAAAAAAATTAGGGTGAGGGCCAAGTTCCTATCTGAATGAAACTATAAAATATCCACATCATAGGAGTATGTTTCTTTACATTACTGTAATTTATACCTATTAGAAAATGGTTGCTCTCTACCCCATTCTCACAATATCACTATAAAATGAAGAAAGCAAGTGTCATCAGAGAATTCAGGTAATCTGTGTGGTGAATTACTAAGAAACACTTAGGTTTGCCTGACATCCATGTAGCATCTGACTTACTGAAGATAAATCAGTTTATGCTAACTTCTTATATGAAGACTTTTATGTAACCATTCAAGAGACATGCAACATAGAGTTAAAATCATCAATGGAGTCTAGCATGGTAGCAAACACCTGGGATCTCAGGTACTGGGGTAGGGGTGCTGAGGAAGGAAGTTTGCAAGTTCAAGGCCCACTTATCAAGACTCTGCTTCAAAATAGAATTGAAAAGGGCTGGGGATGTGTCCCAGTGGTAAAACATTTGCCTAGCATGTTCAAGGCCATGAGTTCAATTGCTAGTACCATCATCACCAGAACTACAACAAAAACATCAACAGGATAAAGGAAAAATAAAAATTAATTAAAGGGTCAAAAGACTGTCATATATTAAGTTTGTAAAATTTGTGCGTTTTACTTTTGTTTTTAAATCAACAAAATGTTCTATATAGAATTTTTAGTGCCAGACACTGTGACACACACTTGTAATCACTGCTACTAAGAAGGCTAAAGCAGGAAAATTCTAAGTTCAAGGCCAGCCTTGGCAATTTAGCAAGACCCTGCCTCAAAATAGAAAAAAAGGAGCTGGTGGGGTCGAGGTGGTGAATGCCTATAATCCCAGCGGCTCGGGAGGCTGAGACAGGAGGATCAAGTTCAAAACCAGCCTCAGCCAGCGAGGCTCAAAGCAACTCAGTGAGACCCTGTCTCTAAATAGAATACAAAATAGGGCTGGGGCTACGTCTCATTGGTGAAGTGCTCCTGAGTTCGATCCCCGGTAACCCCACCCACTTTCCCCCAAAAAAGCTCCCACTAGTCTTAAGACAGATGGCAATGCCCCTTTTCCATCTTCAAACTTTGATATCTATATATGTAAAAAAATATAATAACATACAATTCCACTTTAAAAATCAACTATTCAGGGTTGGAGTTTGTAGTCAGTGATAGAATGCTTGCCTAATAAGCATGGTGTTCAATCGCATAGGGGAAAAAACACAAAGACAGGGGCTGGGGATGTGGCTCAAGTGGTAGCACGCTCGCCTGGCATGTGTGCGGCCTGGGTTCAATCCTCAGCACCACATACAAACAAAGATGTTGTGTCCACCGAGAACTGAAACTAAAAAATAAATATTAAAAAATTCTCTCTCTCTAAAAAAAAAAAAAGAAAAAAAAGAAATAGTTCAAAGAAATGAGTATGTTTATAAAGTATAGAGAAACTGATTGGGGGAAAAAAACACAGACATAAACAGCTGTCTTTAAAGTATTTAAAGACTATTAGGAAAGTATACTAAGTTTATTTTGCATGACTCAAAACAGAAAGAATGCCAGTATATACAGTGAGATTTGGGGGGGGGGGTTAAATCTAGGGCCTAGTGCATTCTAAATATGTGCTTTACCACTCAGTTACACTCCCACCATAGTGAAATAAATTTCTAATAAATAAAGAGTACAGACTAAAATGATTTGTCTCTCAAAGTAGATTTGTCTCAATGGAGATACAAAGAAAAACTAGGTCAATATATAACAGTAAAGCATCAAGTGAACAAATGAGTAAAGGTTGATCCAGATTAGTGGGGTCCAAACCTTCTTCAATGTTTTAGAATCTTTTTGAAATGCACTCCAGTATACTTGTGTATAAATTAAGTACTTGAATTACTGTGTAAAATATAAGTTAAATTATTAGTAAAGTTTATTTTTCCCTTTTTAAAGTTAAAAGAAGTTTTTAGGTTTTTTTCTTATGTTTTCATCTTATGTATCACAAAGGGTGAACATCCTTTCAAGACCAATAGTCAACATAAACATCTCTTAGCTTTAAGGTTCAGTTTACCAATGTAGATTTTTTAATTTATCCAACAGGTAAACAACTAATCTAAAATAATTAAGCTGAGCAAAGTGACACACACATGTAATCCCAACTACTCAGAACGCTGAGGCAGGAGGATCACAAATTCAAACACAGCCTGGGTTAAAATAAAAAAATAAAAATAAAAAGGGCTGAGGATGTCACTCAGTATATAAGTCCTGGGTTCAATCCCCAGTACCACAAAATTAATTAATAATTAAACTTATTATCTATAGAACCCTGTGCTAGGAGCTTTACTTCAATAAAATTGAAGCTCAGAGAAATATAAGAAACCTCCATGATAGAGCTGGGATTTGAAATCATAGTAATACATAGATTAACTATCCCTCATCCAAAATGTTTAGAACCAGAAGTGTTTTGGATTTTAGACTTTGCAATATTGGTACATACACAAATGAGGTATCTTGGGGATGGCACCCAAAGGTAAACATAAAATTCACTTATATATCACAGGCTGGAGTTGTGGCTCAGTGGTAGAGCACTTGCCTGGAATGTGTGAGGCCCTGGGTTCGATCCGCAGCACCACATCTAAATGAATATAAATCCATTGACAACTAAAAAATATTTTTAAAAAAATTCACTTATATATCACATACATCTTACATGCATAGCCTGAAGATAATTCTGTGTTATTTTTAGTTGCCTGCATTTGACTGTGATCCATCACATGGTGTCAGGTGTGGAATTTTCCACTTGTGGAAAATTCATGTCAGTGTGCTCAAAAAGTTTAGATTTTAGAGCATTTCATATTTTCAGATTAAGGATGCTCAACCTATTACTGTTGAACAAACCCCAAAATATATTATCCTTGAGCAAAGGATGTTACGTTCTATACCGAAAAGACTATATGAAACAGAGACAAATTTTAATTTACCAAGTTTTTCCTGCTTATTTTTTATCATCACTACCCAAATTTAATGGTATTTTGATACTGAGAAATACTTCCACCTGAACTTCCTTACTGACAAAATGAAAAAGGCATGTGGAAAGAGAAACTGAGGGGGAAAAAAATGTCACTTGTCTAAAGCTAAAAGGCAGCTATAATGGAAAGAAGACTAAAAAACACCCAATTAGGTAGTTCTTTTTCCCTTTTTAATTATGAATACAGGATCATCCTTCCTCTTCGAAGAGGGCAAAGTATTTGGGCAAAAATTTGTTTCTGTGTGCCTTCAGAGACTTGGATTTTGTACTATTTTTGTCCAATCAAAAATCTTAACAATACAAAGTAGCTTTCACAGTTTCACTGATGCCTATGCTTGGTAACATTTTTAAACACCCTAAATACCAGAAGACAAAAACTAAGCCTGAAACAAGATCTTGGGTTCCATCCCCAGCGCTGGTGCATGCATACACACACACACACATACACACACACACCCCTGGACCCATAAACCCAAGTGATTTACTCTTTAAGAATCGGGTGAAAAAGCCTGGCGTGGTGGCACACACCTGTTATCCAAGCCGCTCAGGAGGCTGAGAGAGGAGAATCAGTAGTTCAAAGCCAGCTTCAGCAACCCCAAGGAACTAAGCAACTCAATGAGACCCTGTCTCTAAATAAAATACAAAATAGGGCTGGGGATGTGGCTCAGTGGTTGAGTGCCCCCAAGTTCAAGCCCCCATACCAAAAAAAAAAAAAAAAGAATCAGGTAAGAGATGTACAACCTAGAGGGTTATGCATTTGGAGGATTCAAATGTGGGAGACAGATAAAATTGTTGAATTTTTTACAACAAAAAATGAAGAATGTGTCAGAAGCTATGCAGAAGAAGCCTGTGTTATATCACATAAAAAAAAAATGTGAGTAACTAGGTTTTCTACCCCAGTGACAGATTTGCATAGTATGTGCAAAGCCCAGGATTCAATCCCCAGCACTGCAAAAACAAACAAAAAAAGTAACAACAGGGAAAGATTTGACTTCCATCTCATTTTACTGATTCATAAGCAAGTCATAAACTTGAGATTACAAACAGAATCATTTAGAAAAACCTAGCAGAATGGATTTAATAGATAAGAGCAAAGTTTTGTTAATTTATTACAACAGGCTATATTCCAGAAAATCCTTAATTGCCTATCAAAATGAATTCTCTGGGAAGGTGAGGAGCAAGCAACTAGCACAATTTTGCTGCATTTTAAAATCTTCTCTACTTAATGTGGCCTATGACAATACAAAACAAAACCAGAATTTCCAGATGCATATAGCAGGATACTGTAGAAACCAGTTCCAACAAAGAAGTGTAAATGTTCAAGCTGAACTGGATGATTCTTTAAAAGTTTGAACTGTGAAACAGATGGAAGGAGAAAGTTTAAATAAGAATTAAAAGATGTAGAATGTTTCCACTCAGATCTAAGATTCTTCATTTTGTTTCATAGGGAGCTGGCAGGCTTATTCTAAAGAGGAAGACAAGCCTCATCCAGAATACCCTGCCTCAGTGGTGGTGGGTGGGTCCCTGGGTTCCAGCACATCCATAATTTATCACATGCCCTAGCCAACAAATTAATGCACAATGATTCCATCCCCTGCTCTCCCACAAGGAGGCAACCTTTATGTCAGAACAATGTGCCCAGGAGAAGAAACTAAAAATACAAGGCATATCCAAGGCAAAGACAAGCCTCCCTATTTTCTCTTTCTTCTTTTGCCACACCTTTACCTCTCTCCCCAATTTAAAGCTGTACAAAATGAGGTCCTCAGGCCCTAGGGTCCAGGCGGTTCATCCTTTCTCCATGGGCAGGCTCTACAAAGAAGCCAAAGCTTGTATTGAGTTTTCTTAAGGTTTGCATATAAATAACGAAAAGCCAGCGCTGGCCTGGGAGCTATGGAAAGCAGAATAATGAGTCACCCCGCAACGACTCAATCAAACCTTAGACCACAATGCCCCCGATCTGGTAAATGGACGGGGACTGGGGAAGGGGGACCACCCCAAAAAAACCTATCCACTGACAGGTTTAACTAGTTGATTGGAGAATGGCAAATCACCAATCTCTCTGAGCCTCATCTCTAAATAAAAACAGGTGCTGGACTGGATAGCCTTCTAAGAAATAATTTGAGTCATGACATGGATCTTTAGAATACGTTACAGGAGGCAACTGAGAAGTTTCCAAAGAGGAGGCATTTTTCAACAAAAGGGGGAGGGAAAAGTGCTTGGTTAAAAACACATACATTTGGGCCTCCAACTAGAGGCGGGCGATGAGAGCAGGGTCAGAGGTTCAAGCCCAAGGATGGAGGGAAAAGGCAACAGCGACGCTGGAGGCTGGGTGTGTACGTATAGGAGGGAACGATCGGATGAAGGGAGCCGGGGGGTGCAGGAAGGCCTACTCCAGGGGTGGGCAGGGCGCCGCGCCCCGCCACGCTACACCTCCACGAGAACCGCAGGGTGGAGGCGCCGGCGAGCGGCTGAGGAAAGTCGACAGGTTCAGGGATGGGGTACCGGGAAAGAGGCTCACAGGCGGAAAGCGGCCTCCACACATCTCGCCAGCCGAGAAGGCGCGCGCTAGGCCCCCCAAGGGCTGGCTGGGGTGATGGCGCGGGGGAGGGGCCGGCCAGGGTGGGGGAGGGGAGGTCGCGGGCCTCTCACAATAACACCTCCCGGCGCGTTCCAACCCCCAGCCTTCGGCCACGGGTTCCGACAACCCTGGATGCACTCACTCAAGTAGAGGGTCCGTGCGGGCCCCAAGCGGCTGCGGCGTCGGCTGGTGGCGCGTCTGTCGCTCGCTCAGTCCCGGCGGCCCCAGTCCGGCGCGTCCCTCCTCGGGCCCCAGCACCAGCAGCAGCGCCTCCACTTCCGGTTCCCCTGCCACTCAGGCAAATGGCTTCCGGAAGTTCCGCCCCCGTTCCTGCCTGGCCTCGGACTGGCCCGTCTCTCACTTTCACTCTCAAGGCGCGCTCTCTGCTCGCGACCAGGTGTCCTGCCACGCCCTGCTGGGTTCTCTGCTTTGTCTACTCTGTGACGCTTCTTTCGCCTGTAGTCTGTACCGCTTGGGCCTCTGTCTTCCCTACAGCTGCATCCCCGAGTCCTGCGTTCCCGTCACCACGGTGTGATGGATGCCATCCGAGTTGGCATTCGGGACAATGTAGCGTCGTGACCTCACGCTGACGCCATTCCCTTCTAACCCCGCCAACCTGATTTCTTCCTCCACTCAGAGAATAAACCAGATTGCTGAAACTGTGAGGGAAATTAGGTGCCAAGGTTAATGAGGCAGCCCCTTACTTTTATAAGTGGGACTTGTTTCTGTGATGGACGTGAAAATTGTGGGTGACCGCCTTTTAAGGTGATACCAGAGAGGATAGCGAGCCCCAGTCTTCCTTAAAGGTCCATCCAGGTTAGGAGAAGACATACAATGAAAATATATGCTAAATGCTAGATAAATGCGGAATCTGTAAAAGCAGAGAGGAGGGGCAAGAGATGTGCTCAGACTTTCTTAGGAAAGGTTGGAGCAGCACCTGGGTTGATTCATTCAGACCTATGCTGGTTAAAAGGCAGACATTCCAGGAATATGAAATTAATCAAGAGATTCGGATTTGTTTCCCAAAACCTGTTAAGAATACTGTAAAAACCTGGGAACCTTAAGTGTCAAGATATGTTAATTTTTTTTTCAGACTACTTGTTCTGTCAGGGGATACTGAATTGGTATTATTTCAGACATAAACATCCAAAAATAATTTTTTTTCTTGATACAAAGTGACTTTCACATTGTTAACTTACTTTGGAACTCTCTTGCAGATGTTCACACATAGGTAGTTTGGGCTCACTAAGGGTTGTTTTAAATGTTTTACTGAAAAGAATTTGTCTCTGGGAATCCAAATGATATCCAAGAGATAGCCCAGAAATATATTGATAAGACAAACAGCTTGAATGATTCTTCAGGAATAAATTGAGGGAATCCTGTATTCCCCTCATTCAATACACCACATTCATGAGAAAAATTTCTTGAGGTCTGTTATTTATTTATTAGTTTTTAGTCGTAGATGGACACAACACAATACCTTTATTTTATTTATTTATTTTTATATGGTGCTGTTTTACATATGCTAAGCACTCTACCCCTGAGATATTGAAACCAGATTTACAGATAGGTAGTTAGTGTAGTTAGGTAAATGGGGTCTAATATGGAGTAAGATATATAAAAAGGAGGCCATTATTAAGAATGGAGTCCAGGACCAATGGTACAGAAACCAATCCACAAAATTACAACTATCTTATATTTGATAAAGGGGCTAAAAGCATGCAATGGAGGAAGGATAGCATCTTCAACAAATGGT